CACACACACACACACACACACACACACACACACAGAGGCCATTCAGCTGGTTTTCTGTGAGGCGTTCAGGTGCACATAACATTTAAAAAAACTACACGTTTCGATCTGAGGTGATAACAAACATTTCAGGGTTTCTTATGACACACAAGAGACAATCTGGTAAAAAGATTAAGTTGCAAACACAGCTAGTGGTAGTTTTATTAATGCAGGTGGAAATTCAGTTTCAGAGCGGGCCCTGAACGCATCTTGATTAAGGTTAAATTGAGAACAGGTGAGGCAGAGGCCTTCCTTCTCAGCTCTTATCTGCGTGTTTTTAACAAAATGAGACAAAGTTCAGCTCTGTCCAAACATGAAGTTCAAAAACAACCTCATGAAGCCGGAGTCTTGTGAAAATGTGACAAAATGCCAGCTTAAAAAACAACTTGTGAAGGGAACCAAGTGTCTCATTAGGGTTACCATGGTAACTCTGGCTGTCACTCCCTGACTGAAGACAGGACAGAAAGTAAAGGTCAGATAGTCGTGCAGTTAAGGAAACCTTGAAATTAAAAATGAGTTTCATGTGATACCTTACATGATCTGTTAAAGAGCAAACTGAGGGTCATGAACGACCCTCAGCTACTACCACACCAAACTGTAGCTGTATATCTGTAAAACTGACGAAGGTGCAGATATTTTTGTGTTTGTTTTGATCATTTTGCTGTGGTTGCCATTTTGGATTGCTTGCAAAGTTCTAGTTATGAGCACTTTGCCACTTGCAATATTTAGCTGGTCATTCTCTGCAGTTAGCTGGTTTAGCTAGCCTTTTGCTACATTCTGTTTTAGCTGGTCTTTTGCTACATTTAGTTTTAGCTGGTCTTTTGCTACATTTAGTTTTAGCTGGTCTTTTGCTACATTCAGTTTTAGCTGGTCTTTTGCTACATTTAGTTTTAGCTGGTCTTTTGCTACATTCAGTTTTAGCTGGTCTTTTGCTACATTTAGTTTTAGCTGGTCTTTTGTTATATTAAGTTTTAGCTGGTCTTTTGCTACATTCAGTTTTAGCTGGTCTTTTGCCACATTTAGTTTTAGCTGGTCTTTTGT